GAAAAGCCATAGACATTTTGTAAAATATTTGACAGTTTCTTAACAAGCTAAATTTAAACATCTCATGCAGCTTAGTAGTCTGTCATAACTCCTATATATTTACCCAGTAGGAATAAAAACATAGACTCATAGAAAGTCTGTTTTATAACACTAATAGATGCTTTGTTTGTGATTGTCAAAACATGGAAACCGCTGGAGTGTTTTCAACTACTTAATGTGTAAAAACAAAACAAATGTTATAGAGCCATATGAATGGAATACTACTCAGCAAACAAAAGATCAGGCTACTGATAAGCACAACAAAATGGAGGGATATATAATGTATTATGTAAGTGAAAGAAACTAGACTCCAAGGGATAAAAACTGTCCCACTCATTTTTATGACATTATCAATAAAGGAAAGATTATAAGGAAGAAATCAAATCAGTAGATGCTGGGGACTGTAAATGAGGTAAGGTCCAGGGAACTTGTTTAACATATTAATTATCTGCTGTGACTCACGGCTTCTTTGTCAGAAATCCAAACACATTAAGATGAATCCATATTGATCAAGATTTGCCATAAGATTGCAGTTAAACAATTAAGCTGTCTGCCTGCTCTGGCGCTGTCTGAAGGCTCTACTAGGGGAGGATCTACTTCCAACCTCACTTACATGTTTTATAGCAGGATTCAGTTCTTTGCAGAGATTCAATCGAGGACCTTGGTTCCTTGCTAGATTGAGATTTTGCCTAGTTCCTAGACGTGTGTTCTTCTACAAGGGGCAGCTCACAACATTGCTACCTACTTTGCTCAGACAGAGCAAGCAGTGGTATCAGAAAGCATTCAGGACTTGAGTGACTATCTTTTTGCAACCTAATAAAATCCATCCCTCTTTTTAAAAATTATACTCACTAGAAAGGAGTCAATAAATTCAGCGAAAACTCGGAGAAGTGATTATGCAAGAGTATGAAAACCAGTAGGCAAGAAACATTGCAGGTCATCCTAGAGCCCACACCCATAGACAGCCCTCCCGATCACACTGATTAAAAATGTTTAAAGTATTTATTCCACATTCAAAACACACTCACCCTCACATGACTGTAAGAGTTTCACCTCACTACATTTCAATTTAAATCCAGAATCTCCTAACTGGAATCAGGGACCCATCTTTTTCCATGAATACAAAAACTTTTAGGGGGAAAAACTTTTAGGGGGAGATCAAAATGACTTTGTATCTTAATTATGGTGTTGATTATATAATTGTATTTGTTTGGTAAAAATCATAGAATTGAATATTAAAAAGGAAGGATCTCATTTTATGTAAATTATCCCTTGTTTTTAAAAAAATACAAAAAAATTTGACAAGCTCATGAATATAATATACACAACCATTACATTAAATTTTGGCTAAAAATAATAATTGATTAGTATTAAAATATATTTAAACAGATCTGCATTGGACACTAGAAGGCTCATACTGTTTTCACTTATAGCAATGAAGAGCTATAATAACATATGTCTGTATAATCAATAATTTTTTTATACGGAGTAAAAATTAGTGTTCACTACTTGTAGTTATGGTAACTACAGGAAGAGGTTTCTTATGAATAATGTCATTTTTCCTTTTTAATATTTGCTTTTATATCTTAAAACTAACAATTTATCAATGTAAGTATTAAGGAAGATGAACATATGTATGAATAACCTATGAACTTTTTCTTATTTAGTTTATAAAAGGTCTACTGGAACAGTTTTCTATAAGACTTATTTTTGTAATCACAAAATATGTCTTGTAACCATTCATTTTATTTCAAGTAAGCTGAATATAGCTGTGAGAAAAAAAATCTTGTATTTCTTCTTGTTTCCCCCAGTTCTAAAAAGTGAGAGGTATAAGGCAGTAAGATCCAGTTACTGCTCCCTGTTTATACAGCTGTATTTCATTGAATGAAGGTTTGTGTTACACACAGTTTGTGATAGGAAGTAAATGCTTTTAAAACAACTAAAGAGACAGGTCTTTAACCTCCACCTTTGTGGATTTCTTGTTCCACACAGCTCCTGTAGAGGTTATCAGGAAGTGGTCCCAATATACATTATTATGTTCTTATTAAAACTCATCTCATTAGTTTATCCTCTTGTGAACTCATAATGTGGATACATTAAGATGAATTTTTAACACAAATCTTACAAGGTTCAACAAAACAGACCATTATTTTGCTTGTATTGAAGTTTGTAAATGATAGGTTGATGAAATGTTCCATAATAGGTATTTCTGAAGAGAAATGGGTTTAGATTTCTAAACAAAGGCTCAATCTCTAAGAAGTTTTAAAAGACTTAGGAGATTCATCAAGAATATCATCTATTAATAAACTTTTATATAATTTGAAGATGTAAATTACAAAATGATTCTTTGTCTATCTCTATTATAGGTGTGTGGGCTAATCAATAAACCAGAGATTCAAGTTCTTAGTTATTTTAAGCATGGTATCTAGGAAGAGTCAGAAAACATCATGTTGAAGTAATTCTCATTTCTATCTATTTCTGAAATAACTTAGGGAGAAATATAATATAATAATAATAATATAATAATAATAATTGTGAATATTACAAATGTGTAAAATAGCAACTAATCATTTTTGGAATTACATAAATACTTATATTAATGAAAATACCCCAGTTGAAAATATGTTTTTTTTTTTAAGATTTATTTATTTGTGCATACAGAACTGGGGTACAGGTCAGAGGCTCAGGGATGGTGAGAGGCTTCACCATAGACAGAGTGGGGAGCAGAACAGGCAGATTGATGAAGTACACCGCTGAGGGGAGCAGCGGACGGGTCAGGAGAGGTCTGCCATGCCATGTGGTCACCTCCGGGGCAGGCAGGAATCGAACTCATGTGGAAGTGGCTTTAGCTTCTCAGTGCTGTGCTTCAACCTACTGCACCACCAGGGAGGGCCTGAAAATATGTTTTTAATAGAAACAACTTCTGATTGGAATGTAAGATTCAATCCTACCCATATGCTTCCTTCTCACAGAATTGTCTTTTTTTACATCTGTGAACTATCATTTGTTTACAAAAAGGTTTTGTAAATTGTGTTGGGTAACTTTCTACACAGCTTTGTCTGGATATCTTTCATTTCTGAAATAAATGTCCATAAAGTCTACTCAGATTTAATTCGTGGTTTTCATAAAAGCCTCTAACAAATTATTCTGCCACGTGCCATGTATTTTAACTGTAAGTATAAGGCAACTGAAAAACACCAAAGCTCATTATTTCTTTTAATTTCACTCTTCATTTCCATTCAAACCAAAAAAGAATTCACTTCTAGTTTACACTGTAGGGATATAATAATTGCATCACATTATTAGTTCTAGTTACTAAATGTGTAGTAAAAGACTAAGTAAAACAAGTTGTTTGACCAAAAACAATCCCTTAGTTGGATAGCATAGAATGTAGCATTTTAATATACAATTCTAACAGTAATTTTAAAAATGGATGGAATGAAAAAATATAGGCAGACCAAAATAAATTGGATTTGTTCTCTTCCACCTGCTTACAGGGTTATAATAGTGACATTTGTTGAATAAAATAAAAAAAGCAACTAGCAACTCTCCTTTTTGAGGGAATTGTAATCACAGAGCAATATAATGGCAACTACATAATATATGATGAAATAAGCATCTTAAATTTCCTTTTTTGTTTTGAAGACAAAATAATTATGTGAAACAATTTTAGAAATGGTGTAGTATTTTGATAAGTATGAGAAGAACTACATGTACCTACCAACTAATACATTTCTGTAAGTAAATGAAACTTTAAGTATTAGGCACACATATTACTTTGCTTCACCTCTTCTTTCAATATACAGGTTTTTGAAATTTCTTAAAAAAGTCATCAGGCAAGATTATTAAGTAACATTTCATCCTGAAATTTATGAAACAGTTTCTTCCATCAGAGTATTATTCTTAATTAGAAATACATTATTATATTCTGAAAAATCATCTGTATCTATGGGATATATTGTTACAACATTACCAGAAAATTTTTTTGTGATCTGACAATGTAGCAATATGTCAGTAAAATATAAATTTAGGAAGTCATTTCACACTGTTGAATGCATTTCATTATATATTACATATTTATTGGCTTTGTTTCATGTTTTTTTATTTGTCATTTTTACCTCCTCTGCTTCTCAAAGTTCTTCCAAAAGTGATCTAAAACTGTTTATTTTAATTATAATACTGGCAGGCTTTTTCAGAGATGTTCCAGGTTTTTCCTCTTTACTCAACAGAGATACATACATGGAAATTTTTTTTCTTGTTCTCATAATTCACTTATTAATATATTTTTATTCTCTTTTGGAGATTTATTTTATTTATGCATACAAGAAATGGGGTGTTGGCCAGAGGTGCAGGATGGTGGAGAGGGGTGAGAGCATTCAGCAGAGACAGAAGAGGAATACAACAGGCAGGCTGTAGAAATACACTGCTGAGGGGAGCAGTAGGTGAGTCAGGAGAGTTCTGCTCCACCATGTGGGTCAGCTCCCTGGCCTGCAGTCAAACACATGCTGCAGTGGCCACTGATAGCTTCTGTAGTGCTGAGACTGAACCCCTTGTGCCGCCAGGGGTCCTGATTTATTTTTATTTTAAGAAATATTTATTATGTTTTCCTGGACATCTTAGACTAGATTCCAGTCTCTCCCACCTTAAAAACAAACAAAACTGTAATTATAAAATATGAAATGTTTATATGTATAGATAGATATAGCTAGTTATATATTTTGTAGTAATGTTTGATTAACACCTTAGTATTTGTATTAGGGATATAGTTTTGCACCTCTATATTTTATTTTATTTCACCACACCCACCACCTAAGCCCCAGTAGAACCCTAACCCACCACATCCCCTTTCTGGCAACCTTAGTCAACCTTAGTGTGTTCTTCCCCTTCCTGTTTTCACCTCTCTGTCTTCTCTCTCCCTCATAAATTAATCTTATAACTAATTTCAATTATATGTTTTTCAGAGGTTAATATTATGTGGGCTGGACACCAAACACACCACAGTTCTGAAGACTATAACTTATCCACAGCACTAAGACAATCTGTCTTCCAAGTATATACTTCCTGGGTAAGTTGCAAGAAACTAAATAAATGTGATAATACAATTTATTTCTAAAAGACTGAACACTCTATTTCCTTAGAATAAACTAATAGGTGTTTTATTAAAGCACGTCTTTCTATTTTGTGAGGCAGACAGAAAAATGTTTCTTTCTACTCCGTAAAGTCAGACATACTTGAAGCAAGTGGTGTTTTCCAATAGTAGTCTTTTATTAGACCCAAAGTCTAACCTTGAGGTACACAGTAAGGTGAGAAAATGGTCTGATTATTTTTTTATCTGGTTATTTATTACCAGTGGGAAATGGTGATGATAATACAGGCAATATATCTCAATTCAAATATATGCGAACAAAGATTTCTTTAGAAACATTTAAAAATGCTTTCTAAAAAGCATTGATTAATTTTCATTTCTTCATGCCCACATCAAATCTACTTATTTTTTTTTATTTAAACATTACAGTTTTAGTATGATGCTCAACAAAAATTAGCATCTAAAATATTTTCACATGAAGAAATGGCAAGACTGAAAAATATCACAAATAGTCTCTAGTTTAAGGGCTTCCTGATTCACTGGTAATTTCCTGTATCTGTAATTATCCCCTCTTAGGTCTTCTTAATTCTCCAAAATACAAGAACCCAAGAACCACAATGTGTGTGTGTGTGTGTGTGTATGTGTGTGTGTGTGTTAACCACAGGGAACTTTAAAGATTTATTTCATTTTTTTATGCATAGAAGAGCTGGGCTATAGACCAGATGTGTGTGGGTGAAAGGATTCACTAAAGACAAAGTGGGGAGCAGAACTGACAGATCTACTGAAACATACTGCTGAGGGGAGCTGTGGGCAAGACGCAAGACAGGTCTGCTGTGCCATGTGGGTCAGCTCCTTGGTCAGGGATGGAACTCATGCTGCAGTGGCTGGGGATAGCTTGGTAGTACTGATATTACCTCCTTGTGTCACCAGAGAAGCCCCCCAAAATACATGTTAACGGTAATCTAGAAAATCAATTATTGATGTATGAAATCATTCATCAATAAGCTATTTACTAACTGTACATTTTATGATCTAATATTTGTTTTATACATTATAGTCACAAAGTACTTATTTATTGAGTACGTTTAATGTATAGAACAATATTCTAAGGCCTTTCTATGGATTAATTCATTTGTTCTTTATTGAGAACTATCATAATTCTCAATTGAAAATTGTGGAACTGAGTGCATAGTTCAGTTCCAAAATAAGTAAAGGGAGGAGTAGATCTTGAACTCATCAACTTTACTGTGGGCTCCACATTGTTAGTTAACCTCTCTGATACATCCTCTCAGTGTTTCTATATTGACTTTCACAAATAAGACTAGTTCACATATTACTGCTAATGTGTAAGATTAGTATATACATATGTGCACACAAGTGCAGATGGATAGATAGATAAGCTATAGTCTGTGCTATAACTGTTGGTGAGGAAATGAGGAAGAAAATACTCTATGACCTATTTTACTGCTACATGGCTTATGAATGATCTTGGGTTCTGATAACAGGAGGGAAGAAAAAGCCCTAGGTGAAAGTAAATGATACTGCACATCTCCCTTTAAAAAAATAATAAATAATTACTTCAAATAATTGCTTCTTGGTTTCTTTTTCTTACTTGACTTACACATTTCTCTTTGTCAGTGATTGCATCTGTCAAGGCAGAACATCTCAAAGAAGGGATGATGCTGTTTTTGAAGTAGCGATATATTTAGAGAAATCGATATATTTAGAGAAATTGATATATTTAGAAAATCAACAGACTGACATATCATCAAAGGAAAGTCATTATGAGTAATCATCTCAGAACTAGAAGAAATCTTGGAGATAATATATTCAAACATTATTCTAAAAGCTATACAATGAGTCTCAGTGGGACTCATTATATCACATGGTATTGTACATTGCCAAGTTGTCAGACATCTGGCAAGGATAAATTTCATCTTTATCCTTGTTCCTTTCTATCTGTTAAGTCACTGTATCCAATGTAACAAATTAATGAAAATCTAGCTATAATATAAGATTTTAACCTATTTGTTACCAAAACAAATCCACTTTCCAACCTGGTATCATTTGCCAAGGACAAGGATATGCTAAATTTAAAAATAAATAAAAATAGGGAATGGATCACAAGTTGCTAAATTTAGGAGGTGAGGAGTAGGAGGATCTGGAGTTTGGTGAATAAAAGTTAGGGAGTATAAACCAGTCTGGATTCTTGTCTAACATTAGTAGTTCTGTTACAAGAAGGAATAGCCACTTTAAGGATCTATGATAGGTCTCTCTCTCTCTCTCTCTCTTTCTCTCTCTCTCTCTTTCTCTTTAGACATTAAAACTAAAGGGTATGTGTCAAGTCTATGTTCTTTGAACTTTTAAGATTTTCTGTTAGCAATGTTATGTAAGGCAAATACATATGGGTCATGTCTTTGAAAAGAAAATTGATTTGTGAAATAAATGGCAAAATTAAGTTCTGAGTGCTTTTATTTGATAGCAATATGAAAAGTAGATTGCCAGATCTGTCATTTAAACATAAGATTTCAGCTTTCAAGAATTTCTACCATATTTTTAGGCAATTTTAGGCTTACATTTAATATTACTCATCCAAAGAGATTTGCATAGGTAGAATGCCATTTTAAATGAGTCTTATTTACTGTACTGTGCAGACTAAGATTGTGCATGCTGCTTCAATTTTTCATCACATATCTTAATTAATATTCAAATATCCCCTACTGTTTGTGAATATAAAGCCATTTCGCTTTCATGAAAGACCCACATTAGTACTTGTTTTTGCTAACCAAATCAAATCCAAAAGGATTTTTGCTTTTGTGAAAAAAGGCAAAAAATAAAATTGAAAAACCTTCAGCATTTGTTTTGCAGCAACTATTACAAGGCAATGCAGCAGACAGAGTGCCAGTGCCACAGCCCAGCTCTGTTCCTGAGAATACTTTATACAGGCTATGTACATATTACTTATATGTACATATTTATTATATGTTAGTTTAATTTTAGATTTTATGTGTTGTAGAATGATTTGGAAGGTTACTTTTGGGGTCTGGGAATGCTCAAAAACTGTTTTCATATAGATTAATGGTAGTTGCTACTTTTCTTTACGCCATTTTGGATTAGGAAAGTTTTTAGATAGTGGAGGAAACTCGTAATGCCTTAAGTATGACAGTCTCTTTACTTTGCAAATAATAAAATGTGTCTAGACTCTTGGACATTATGTAATGTATAATAGTGTCCATATTAAATTTCATGTTCTTCCAACTTTGTGGTTAAAATACCTGAATGCTACAGTTTTATATTCAAAACATAACTACAGAAGTGCATGAAAAATAAAGAATGTGCTATGTCAAAAGAACATAGGAGCCAACCTGCAAGAGCCCCCAAAGACCAAAATCTGGAACAACTTGAACAACAATATATACAACATTGTATGAAGTTATGGCCTAAGTATAAAATAAATATCTTTGAAATCTGTCCACACTGATGTAAACGCTTGAATAAATCAATATCTGACGACAAATAAATGGGACAAAATATCTCTTAAATAATTCCAAAAGAATTCAAAGAGTGTATACACAGATACTGTCTACTACTGTAGAAATGAAATTTAATGTTTCCTTTACTTCCAGACATTGAGTGTGGACTACAGTTAGTAACTGCTTCATAGAGAATTTAGTAATAAAAAGGTACGATGTGTGGATAGGGAGAGCAACTGTATAGTGGAAAAACTTAGTAAAAATAATGAATCTGAGATCATAGTTAATGTGTCTGTGATATTTTGTTGGTAACATTGACCTTTTGATAAGGTATGATAAAACAATCTTCGGTTGATAAGTGTGCCTTTTGGTTAAGATGTAATTAGAATGACCCTGCTCCCCTGTGATCTTTATATCAAATCTATATTTCTAGTATAAGCATGACAAATATGTCAAACTCAAATTGAGGAACAATCTACAAAGTACCTCGTAAGATCTTAAAACACAAAGAGTAGCTGAGAAACTGTAACAGAGTGGAGGAGATTAGACAGTATAAAAATCGGGATCCCAGTCCTTGCTTCCATTAACGAGCTTCCCCACTCTGAACCAAATAAAATTGTTTGAATTGCTTTGATAGTGTACATAAAATCATGCAGACAATATATACTCTACCTTATTATTTTCAAGATCATCTTAAATAATGAGTATGAATAAATCTTTGAAAGTATCATGTATGATCATATGTATAAAATATTTTTTTCTTGCTATGAAGACCAGAGGAACCTTTAGTGAAATCTCAGATCTTTTTATTACATCATACTCCTTGCCAAACTAAGCAGACTATTTTTCTTTATGAGGAAGTTAGAATTATATAAAGAGGATGTGAACACAAAAAGACATGAAAAGCACACAACTTTGATGGGGTGGTTGAATGCCCGAGGGATAAAATTTCCATAACTCTCCTCACAAGAGGAAAGCATGCCTTGAGGCAGTCCCCTCCCACCCCACATTAGGAAGTGAAGATGTACAATTTCAGGGCCTTGCTTCAGAGCTCAAAGGACTCTACCAACCTCAAACACCATTCAGAGATACCTAATAAGACATAATTGTTAAATAAATGAAGTCCTTTGTTGGTTTATATATGTACCTATTTCTAAACCTTGAATCTAGATGTGTCAGGAAAATGGAATTTTGCTGTAACTTGGCGACTAACTTTGATATGTGGTAAAAACTACAGTTACTCTCTTATTTTGGTTGTTTTTCTTTATAGAAATATTTTAATCAGTTGTAGTCCTTACAATGAATGATAAATAGGGAATTTATACTGAAAATTTCTGCATAAGACAGAATGATCTTATGGATGTTTAAAAAATGTACAACTAGTTAGAAATTCAACTACCCTTACATGTTATTGTTCTTTGAGTACACCTACTAATTTTTTTTTTCCTGATGTATTCTTGATTGGCAGATCATTCCTTACTCATGGACAATGAGTAAGACTTCTTA